TGATCTAAAGTGAAAAACAAATTTGTGTTTTTTTAGCAATTTTTTGAGCTCCCATATTTTATAGCTCATTTACTCAATACTAGACTGTGCGACAACTTAACCATTTTGCCACAACATGCCTCATATGAGAGTTTCCTTTGTTAAAAACATGATTTATACTACACTTATTGATACTTGTACTTTATAATAAGAGAAATCTCATATTAGTGATACCTGGAACAGTAATACGAAAGTACTATGCTACTGCACTGTAATGCTTAGGCTTATTTTAATACACTACTTAGATAGGGTTTTCTTTTTCCATCTTGATTTCAGAGGTCAAAAACATTTTTCAATTTTTTTTTCAATCAAGTGGTGTAGAATAGTCTTTCGAGAACATTTTCCAGAAAAAAATAAGGTTGTACTGTACGACCCCTCCGTTTTATGTTAAGTTTTAGATAACATGAGGACAAGAATTCTGCTTCAAAGCTTATTTTCATGGTAGGGAGGAAGATTTTTTTTTTCTCACATCAAACATGAAAAAATAGTGTCACAAGGAAAAACCATGAGACCAAAATTGCATACAAGAAATTATGTAATTCATCTACTGTAAACCAAGCAGAAACTTTGCCTATGAATAACAGTCATAATGCAATTTCTCTAAATAATAATGCACAAATTACTCCAACACAACAGGCATCATGGATGCCATGTGGCTACAATAGTATAGAACAACAGTAGAGCATAGAACTGCAAGTGATCTGGCTAACATGCAGATGGGTGGTAAATAGACCTATATATTTAATGGAGTTTTGTAAAAAAAAAAAAAATATTCAAGTCAGTGGCCTCTCTGATGGTTGGGAGGGGATGCTAACCAATTCTTTTATTTTACATGGCCTTAATTTGTATTTTAATCGAATGGTTCTTACTTCTTGACAACAGGAACGATTTCCCCACATCTCTTCCACAACGCAGTTTCCACAAGTACACCTGAAAATAACAGAAATGCATTTTTTTTTTATTAAACTAATGATTTTATGGAACATAATAGGACTAGGCCCAATTATCATAACTCAGACAGGTTCTATTTCCTACAAATACTTTCAGAAAAAAAATATCAAAGATACGCTTTAAATTATGCATGCAATGTTAAAATATTCCGTTTGGTTTTCCATCCATACAACTTTAAATAGGGCACGCTGATGTCAGATTTAAAAGGATATTTTTTTTAATTTGGTTAAAATGGAATTTCCCTGGGTATACAGCCACCAACTAACTAGGCTAAAATAGGCCAAACATAGCAATAGGCCTTATATCTATTAATATTTAGTACCACCCTAACCCTCCCTACAGTATGGCCTAGCCAAAGATGGCCTAGCCTAGATAGGCAAAGAAGGGATATCCTAGGCATATAGACCTCGCTAGACTAGGCCTCTAGGCTATAACTGGCCTAGCCTAGGAAGGTAGACCCCAGACTATGAATTGGCTAGGCCTAGTTAGAAGCCTCCACCCAAACAAAAAAATGCCATAAAAACCGTCCGCGCAATTGGAAAAATAAGGGCCAATTTCCATGCAGATTTTTCCGAAAAAAACTTTCAGACTAGGCCGGCAGGCCTAGCCGTATGGCGCTCTACCCTCTAGCTAGGCCTAAGCTTTGCTTTGACATAATATATAATAAATCTGCTACGGGTTGTCAAACAACCAGTATATGATGTTCAAACAACATGTGATATGAATAAAATTACCATTCCTGTCTTGCCGCACGTTTATATTTCCCGGTAAACCTAGGCGAATAAGTTCACAAAGTTCATCATCATCAGCAACAACAGCGACGGGCCTTGCTTGGTTCATCGTCGCCAATAAATGCCATAATTTGGCCAAAATTTACAATAAGCCTACGAGGCTCCGCAGTTTTTTCTTCATCGGATGATGATGACTGATTGTCACTTGCCATAAGATCGGTCAATTAATATTAATAATAATTGGAATTGTGATGAACACTATAAAATCCGCGAGAACAAAATGGCTACAGCTAAAAACTTGTGTATTGTGGATTTCACCAAATTTCACGCATGCGCGTAATTAAATCCGTGTGCCTATCCTCCGAGGCATATGGCTGCCAAATTCGTAAAAGACAGTCGTAAAAACAACATTAAAAATGGACTTTAAAAAATAATTTGAGAAATATATAGCCAAATTTTAATCATTTACGATGAAATACGTATCCAGGAACAAAAATGTAAAGCGGATTAGCTATTACCATCACTGTATTGTGTCAATTGGCAAATAACCTCCACATTCCCTATCCTCGCAGTACAAATTTATCTTTTTGTGACGTCACAAAAAGATTTTCAGTGACTTTCGGGGGGAATTTTTGGGGGTAAGGCATTGTCCAATACGTTTAATATTGGGTGTCCGAGGTTTTCCAATGACTTTCTAAACAATGATGACAAGATTTTGGATTTCTAGAAACCGTTTCATATCCATTTTAAGGTCCAGTATGGCGATAATGAACATACACAGAAAATATCGACGTAAACTATGAGGAAGCATCAAAACTCTTCTTTACATTATACCCACGGAAAATTAATGATAACAATTTGATCTTTAAATAAAGAGCTATTTATTTTTTTATGTAAATATTAGGTAAGTTAAATTACCTTTAGTATTTAAAGCGTATAGTTTAAGTATTAGTTATTGAGAAAAACGATGAAAAAAAACTAAGTTAAAGAAATATATTAAAATATAAAATTGAAAGGAAAACGATGAAGAAAAACTAAGTTAAAGAAATATATTAAAATATGAAATTTAAAGGAAAACGTTACGAACGTTTTCCTTTATCCCTATATCATTGTTTATTTTTCAATACAGTATATACATTTATAACTGTATTTTTTTTTTAATTAAAAGTGGGACGATCCCACGAAAAAAGAAAAAAAAAACACATTTTTTTTTAAATTCTTTAATCTGAAATGCTCACAGGCCCGTATTCAGGAGTTCCGCAATCCAATAGGCTGGTGTATATTGAGTGAATATAGTCTGGTGTTGCCCAAAAACTACGTTTACAATTTTACTATTTTGTCAGACTTAGTCTTGAACTTAATGCACTAGAATGTAAAAACGTAAATTTTTCCCCTTTTGCGGCCCCCTAGCCCCTGCCTAGTTGCTCGCTTCACTAAAAAATAACGCACCCCGCGAATTCTGAAAGCTTCGCTAAATTGCTCCGAGTTGCAGCTTTCCCCCTGTGCTTTCGTTTCGTCCCCCCGCCCCCCTTAGATTTTTCACCGTACGCCCCTGAAAATGATTAGTATTCTGGAATGAAAATTACTGGAGCAGGTCCAGAGCATAAGCTTATGAGGTCTTGATATTTCGTGTCAAACTTATCCCTCACCTAATTACCTAACAGCAATGCTTTAGGGTTGACAGCAAAATGTTATCAACAGCCTAACCTGTTTACTGTGGTAGCCCACCTACCAACCAATTAATGTTAGTGTCGAATTGCACAAATCTGATTGGTCACTTCATGTAGAGCCAACGGAAGCGGTAGTATTTTGAATTTTTCTCTGGACTTTCATGATGTTAGGCAGTTATAAACATACTCCTTGGAAGTATTTTAGCAGTACTGTATTCACTATCAAGTGGTAAGTGTTGGTTTTGTTTTATTATTTAGTTAGTTTACTGCTCTAGCAGACACGCTTGCCTCCTCCTTGGCCTAATAGTAGTGGTAGATGAAGGCTTGAATGAAGAGGCCTGGCCTAGCCTAAGGCCTAGCTGACCGGTAATACTAGCGGCCTAGCCGCTGTACAGAGACAGACATAACTGAGGTTCTCTGTTCTCTCTAGGCCATTGAGGATATAGGGCTGCGTAGCTGACCAGTAATACTAGCCTAGCCGCTGTACAGAGACAGACAGAACTGAGGTTCTATGTTCTCTCTAGGCCATTGAGATTATAGGGCTAGGCCTAGAACCTGGGCCTTTTGTTGGCCTAGCCAAGCTGTAAGTTAATTGCCCCATAGTCTAGCATGCCATAAGTCTAAGAAGAGTGGTAAATTGCATTTGGGCTGTGTCCTCACTAATGTCCATGATGCTTTAATAAAATAATGGGTTAGGGTTAACCGGGGTGGGGGTGGTGTAAAGAATTGTGTCATTATTTGCAGAATTAAGTTAATGTAATCTCTAGGCCTATACTAACATATGGTAATTCTATTTTAGGATACTCAAGTCTCAGTTACTACTGTAATTAAGTGAAAACTCAATCCGGTCAACTCAGTCTTGTAGTAGGAAAGCATTAATGTTTGTTTAATTAAAGACGTATCTGTGAAGGAACAGAAAATTACCTGACATTCTATGCATTAATATAATAATCGGTTTACGGTTAACCGAGGGCGGGGGGTGTAAAGAATTGTATAATTATTTGGAGAAAGTTAATGTAATCAAAAGGCCTATACTAACAACATAAATGGTGACTTTATTTCAGGATACTCAAGTCTCGGTAACTACTGTAAGTGAAAGCTCAATCCAGTCAACTCAATCATTGTAGTAGGAAAGCATTATTGTTTGTTTGTAAACGTATCTGTGAAGGAACAGAAAATTACCTGATATTCTAAAGGTGAATATAATGTTCTGTTGACGTTTTATTTTTACTGTCCTGTACTATTAATTATTAACAACATGCTACCGATTATGCTGTAGTTTACACGATAGAGTTTAATCAAATAATCAAATTTAATGTGTATATATTAGGCCTATATAGGCCTCAAGGGATATTGAAATTGTAACGTAGGATAAGCTGTTTTGAAAACTAAAAAAAATAATGTTCTTTTGATTAAAAAAAGAAGTAACTGCTAGTCTGTCATTAGCTACATATATGTATATTACTACTATTTCAATACAATAATAAAGGGATGTAATACATTTAATAGAGGTTTCTATAATATGCGCTCTATATACTGTATAAGTTTACCATTATTAATCTTTTTAAAGATTTTGTTTTGTTATATCTTTCAGCAAGAGTGAAATGCCGAAAAATGTTAGTACAAGTCACAGTGATTCAATATTTCAAACTAGATATGTTCAACGGCATAATTCATACTAATTTACCTTGGTACCATCGGACAAGAAAAGGCATAGTTATGGACAGTTGCTGCTGCAATATCACAAAGAATGCTGGTTTATGCACACCTGTAACAAATGGTTTTTGAATATTGTTTTATATAATAAACTCTTGTAATAGGACTACATTACGAAAAAAAATGCTTATTGAAACCGGACTGTAAAGCAAAGAACTGTAGAATAGACTTGAATTTGAGTTACACTATGTTTAGCAGTAAGACATTAGCAAAACGATAATATATGAAAGGGTATGCTAGTAAATTTGACCCTAGGGAAGTAATGTCCCTACCGTATGATGTTTATTGGTGTTTTAAATTAAAGAAATTATGGTTTGTATATGAACTCAGTGTATTTTGTAAGTCTGCAGAAGTTGATTAAAGCTATTGTTACCAATTGGATCTGGGACCATTGCAAACCAATTGGAATTGGGGCCAGTTGAAGTTGAAGACCAGTTGAATTGTCCAAAAACACACAACACCCACATTTTTTTTTAATAGAACACAGAGATTTTCTATGTAAAACCGTTAATTTATATACACTTTCTATACAATTGTATAGAATTTCTATTCGCATATTTAATGTATTTTTATAGGTTTTTTCTATAAAATGTTCATAGATTTTCTATAGTTTTTTAAAGGTTTTTTATATAAAATTTTCATAGACTTTCTATAGATTTTTAATAGAATTTTCATAGTTTTTATATAATTTTTATAGTTTTTAAAGTCTTTTAATATAGTTTTAATATATTTTTATAGAGTTTTTATAGATTTTTTTAATAGTTTTTTTTATATATTTTTAATAGATTTTTAATATAGTTTTAATAGATTTTTAATAGAGTTTTAATAGATTTTTAATATAGTTTTAATAGATTTTTAATAGACTTTTTATAGTGGGCTTCTATAGTTATTTCTATAGATTTTCTAAACAATTATGCTATAGACATTCTATGGTTTTGTTTTTTTTTTATAGAATTCTATAGAATTTTTTTTTTATGGGTAACAAATCTAAGATAAGGGGGAGCGGCCGGCAAGGCCGAACTAGCCCATCCCAGGCTAGGCCTAGCTGATAAAAATGTTGCCTAGGCCTAAGCTTGTAGTAAGCCTAGACTAGATTCTTATATAATTTTAATTAACCTAATACTGTCAATATGGTTATTTTGTTTATGTGTATAGGCATAGGCACAATTGCTAGCCTTATCTACGACGGCATAAGAAGACCACGTTCCAAGACAAGTTCCAGTAAATATACAGGGATACTAAAGAGAAAGACAATGAAGAAAAGGTGCTCTCAGAAAAAGTAACTATACTGTTACTAAAGGAAGAAGGAGTATCGCTTATAGAGACGGAAACATAATTGAATTTTGTTGTCGGACTAGAATATTTTTTTTTTAACATGGTGGGGATAATATGTTATTGTAAACAAACTTTCTAGTAATTTCTACAAATGATTTTTTTTAATAAATTACTAACAATTTTGTTACTTAAATCTAATTATAATACTGTGACAGAAGGTGTGAGACTGACTTGCAACATTTGCAACATGTTTAAGTATGCCGAAGCTGGACAAGCTGAAATTGTGTCCTGCCGATGTCAATGAATGATTGTTTGCGTTTCAGTGAGTGTAACTACCCTACTGTTTTGTGCATGGCTGTAATATTGAAGGTCATTGCTATTACAATAAGGTTGTGACACATCACATTATAGAAATTGTACT